ATGCGCTTCGGTGAGAGGGGCACGGCGTGCAGGAGGGCTGGCAAGGGGCCTCGGGGGCGGCGATGGGGGCGGCGATGGGGGCACAAGGAGCGGCGGTGCGCTCGGGACGCCCGGTCCAGGGGTGCAAGGTCCGGAGGTCGCAGCCTTCCCCGCACAGGGCCTCTGGCCCAGTCAATCCCACGTCCCGTAGACAGGGAATTCGCAGGCACCGATCTGTTTTGGGTTCAAGCGAAACCTCTGATTAATCAGTCAAATTCCAGACTTCCGTGTTCCCTGGGCTGCTCCTGGGCAGCCAGGCTCCCCCCTCTCCGTTCGCACTTTCTCTTCTGCCACTTGCCAGCCCGGTTTCACATCAATCCTCACACATGCTTAGATGTTCTGTTTCTTTCGTTTTTCCTGCACTTCATGTATATTCTCTCATACTCACTGCCCCTATTTCTCTCGGTGTTGGCCGCGTCCAGTTAATAGTTGTAGAAAATGTAGTCCCTGATTTTTGTCACAAGGGAAAGCTGTTTCAGCACAGCTTATCTTAACTTTGCTCCCTGGGCCCTCTGCCATGAGGAGCTGGGGCTGCCACCTCCCATCCCGCAGACCTCAGCGGGCAGAGGGGTCCCTGTGGCAGGCAGAGCATCACATATGGGTGAGCGAGCAGAGAGGAGCAGAGTGGGGCACTGGCATCCTGTCCGCATTTGGGAATCGGGACAGATGTAGGGCCAGCCTTAGCATGTTATCTCCTGCTCTCAAAAATAGCTGCGCTCACCGACAGGTTTATCACACTGTAAATAATGCCCAGGTGACTCAGTTACTATTTGGCTTGCCATAATATTGGTATTTGGTATGATTGACTAAATACCACTGACTTCTGTTACCTATTTTGGGAGAATCACATCGGGAATTTAATCTGAACTTATTTTGGTACAAAGTGTTAAGGTGAAGAAAGATTATGGGGAAAATATGGTGAAATGTGTGGCTGGGTCTCTGATACAATAACATTTTTTCTGGAATAGTCAAAGGAATAAAAGGAATATCTTACTTAAGGAACTGAATTTGCTGCATGTGCCCAGAGCTAATTTATTGTGATCCTTCATTTTAAAAGTGTGCAAATGAAAAAGCAAAGTGTCTCACACCTTGGATTTCCCTGCTCGCACTTGCTTGTTTTTTCTAATTTTTAAACAGAAATATCCGTTGTCTCCCTGCAGCCTCCTACGTGATAACCGACCAGACAGAGCTACGGAAAATCAAGTGCATGGAGAAGACGGGAATCAGTGTAACCAGGGAGCTGATGTGGTGGTGGGGCGTGCGGCTGGCGACAGTGCAGCAGCTCCTGGACCTGCTGCAAGGGCTGCAGCTGTACCGTGCTGCCCAGGTCATCCTGGACTGTGAGTAGCTCTCTTGGACTGTGAGTAACTATCCTGGACTGAGAGTAGAGTAACTATCCTGGACTGAGAGTAGAGTAACTATCCTGGACTGAGAGTAGTAACTATCCTGGACTGTGAGTAGCTGTCCTGGACTGAGAGTAGAGTAACTATCCTGGACTGAGAGTAGAGTAACTATCCTGGACTGAGAGTAGCTGTCCTGGACTGTGAGTAGCTGTCCTGGACTGTGTGTAGAGTTACTATCCTGGACTGAGAGTAGCTCTCTTGAACTGTGAGTAGCTATCCTGCACTGTGAGTAGCTGTCCTGGACTGAGAGTAGAGTAACTATCCTGGACTGAGAGTAGAGTAACTATCCTGGACTGAGAGTAGCTGTCCTGGACTGTGAGTAGCTGTCCTGGACTGTGTGTAGAGTTACTATCCTGGACTGAGAGTAGCTCTCTTGAACTGTGAGTAGCTATCCTGCACTGTGAGTAGCTATCCTGGACTGAGTAGCTGCCCTCCTCCAGGCAGGGGTGATGTAGGGAGGAGTTGCTGCTCCCTCTGGTTCACCAGCCGACCCGTGAGTAAATCATTGCAGGTGCTTCGAGAGGTGCAAAGGGTCTGTGCTCTGCACCAGAGGTGGTGCTGCCATGCATCAGATGGGGTTTCAAAACAGAGCTGGATTATGAATGTTGTAATTTTTCATACATTCTTGTTTGTCTGTGATATTTTGTCTTTAATTGTCAGAGTAGAAAGGCATACCATCAATTTTGCCTGTGCAGCCTTCTTTCCTGCACCATAAGAAGAAGGTTATGAAAAGGAGAAATAGTTTCTGGACTACCTACATGAGTGTTTCTTTATCCCACTTCGTATTTTCTCTATTCCTATCACACGTCCTCCTTGATCCTTCCAGAAATTACACAACTGTTGTCTTTCCTGACTCTGCATGCGATTCTCGCCTATCTCTAAGTCGCTCTATTTCAGTTTTATCTCTTTTGAGGTAGGACGATCAGGGTTTGATCAGGGTAAACAGCTGCCTTACAGAAATCACAACACTTTTAAATATAATTTTCCTTTCCTTTTTTCTCCACTGAAAGTTATGTTTAAATGGCACTTGCCCATTTTTGTAAGCCAAATTGTACCTTAATGCAGTTGTACCACAAAATCTGTAGAACCCTGGACAACGTAGTGTGTTCCCGTATTGAGTTGCCGCAGAGAGTTGAGGGTGGAGCATATCCCTCTTTTCATACATACTCCCACCCAAAATGTACTTTTCAGAAATTTGACGTTTGTATGAATTATGCCAGTTCTCCACAGAGAATTATTAAAAAGAAAAATTGCAGATTTTTGTTATTTGGCCAAAAATGCTTAGAGCAGCACTCTCCAGGTGCATATGGGAAACGGTCAAAGCTTACGGGGGATGCTTCCAGAGGTGGGGATGAGTGGGAGCAGCATCTGCCCTGCGCACTCTGCGCCAGGGAATCCCCGGCGAGGGGGTGGTTTGGGGTGCCACATGACTTGTAGCCTTCATTGTGGAATGGCAGGAAAAGGTCTTGAACAATGGCATTCTGCATTTCTATTTTCCTCTTTTTTTTAAAAAAAAGGAACATTAAGTACTACAGCACAAGCAGCCTTCAAGCGATTCTGCCTTAGTACATCAAACCCAGTAACCACAGGCCCTAGCGAGAGCGTTGCTCACTTCATGGCACTGATTTAGCACCACTCATATGTGGCCTTGCGATTCAGCAGATCCACTCTGGCTGATGCAGTCCTAGCCTTCCCCTCAGGAGACTGTAACCATTCTTACTCCTCACTCCTCAGCAAAGCGCAGCTACGAGAAGGTGAATTTGAATCTGGTTTAATTTGTAAATCAGTAATCCAATTGCTAACTTGGTCACAGTGACTGTGACTTTGAGGGTCTGGTCTGAGTGGAAAGGACTGAAAACAAAATATTGATTTTTTTAATACTTTGTTTAATCTGTATTTATAATCTATTAAATAATTCTGATCTAGATCTCACCAATGCAGTAAGCCTGGCTCCCTGATGATGGTATTTTTATGGATATGCTGGAGTAGAGGGTGACTGCCATGATGACGCTTTTGCTCTGTGCCTGTTCAGTATTGAACACAATTGGTTCTGAGTCCATAATGGGAGTTTTTGGATGCTCTTACATAACACAGTATAACCTACCACACCTTAAACTCCCATTAGGTACAGTCCTTGCCTTTCCCTGTCAGAGCACATCCTGGGGCCCACCTTTGTTTACAGCTGGCTTATTTCAGTATATTCCCTTACAGAGTTCATTGACATTTCTGTAATCCCACTTTATACATTGTGATTTAATTAAAAAAACCCTGCAGTCTTATTCTGAGAAACATGAAAACTGAAACTGAACAACTACTGAATGTTTTTACCACTACGTAATAGCAGCAACAATTTTAAACGTGATTTTTACCTGTGATGGAAAAGGCTGGTTTTGTTCAGTTAGGTATGATGCCTTTTCTTTCCCATCTGGGTTAATTTTGCCATTTTTGCACAAGCTGAGTTCAAAGAGCTCAGAAAAATGGCTTGTAACAGCTGAGACGCTGCTGCTTTTACCCCAAAGTAGAGGGTTTTCCTCTTCTGTTTAAAACAAGACCATGAGTAGATTTCACACTGTGATTAGCTCAGCACACTGTTGTGGTGAATCACTCCCAGAGTAGCTCCATGTATTTAATTTCAGAGAGCTCTTGCTTGCAAACCGCCACAGTGTTGTGGTTCAAGCTGATGCACAGCACATTCTGTAAAACAACCCCTGGAAACCCCAGGGTCTCTGATACGAGGTCTGGTCCCATGCAGAATACGGCGCGGGATCACGTCCTGCGAGCAGCCCTTTAAAGCCCCTGGTTACAGGTGCTTGCTTACACAGGAACCCAGTGAGGTTTGTCTCTCTGATCATGTAAAATGCAAAGAATTGGGGTTGCAATCCTAGAGCAGCTTCCAGCAACATCGCCATTAAGAATACAGATACAACACAGACAAAAGTAGTCCTCATCACTGCACAGCACCGCTCGCCACCCTTCGGTTTGAGGGTTTTCTTTGAAGGGGTGTGTAAATGTCCCTGCAGCTTGTGCAGTGCGTGCCTGACCCGCCTGGGTGCAGGCGGGGATTCCCTGCTCTCTCTGGGGCCTCTGGGCTTGACCTTCCTTTTTGTTATAGAGCTTTCTCAAGATCATTTCTGAAACTTTTTTGGATTTCACTTGCCACAAGTTGCAAAAACGGAGGGGCTTCCCCCTGTTAAAATAAAACCAAGTCGACTTCCTCAGGGTGGAGGAGTGCACTGGGTGACTTCTAAGGAGAAGATTGGTTTCTGAAAATTGCAGTTGGCTGATGCAAGTAAACAGAGGTTTTATAATGATTTCTGTGGACTGGACGCTAAATCTAGAAGGTAAATATTAAAAGATCATGGCAAGCAATGGAGATACTCAGTTCAGCTCGTTAAGACACTGACCTGGTGTGATGGATCTGACACACCTTGGCTTCTCTCCTTTCCCTCGTGACCGTGGGTGAAGTGCAACATGGACTGTCCTGCGAAGGGCTTCCTAAGGAGTTAGAAATGATTTGGGTTTGGCTCTGAATTCCGTACAGCAATATGAAGGGTAGGCAAAGAGAGTTTAAAAGAGGATGGAAAAAACAAATCTGTGATCAATTTTTAGTTATGTTTCTGGATGCCCAATATTCACTTTTGTCCCAGATCCATTCCAGTGCAATAAATTGCTAAACTACCTTGAAATTATCCTTTTAAAACACTTACTATAGTTGTATTTTATATTGAAGTCCACAGCAAAACCTCACATTAATTTAAGCGGCAGGAAGTGGATTATTTTGTTGTTCTGCCACGTGGAAGGAGTTCATTTTCACTAGCATTAAGCCAGTATGGGCAGCTTAGCCGTTGTGTGCTCAGCCATAAGCAGAAGCGATTTCTAGCAGCATCGTTTTAGGTTTAGACAAATCTTTGAAGTCTTTACCTTCTATTTCTGCTTTTTTATCTGTATCTGAATATGCTTACTCAGATTAATTCCTCCTGGGCAGATATGAGGAATACACTGCTTGTTCTGTTAGGAATTTTGGAAACCAGCGTGGTCCTTACCTCACCATCATTCTGTTCTTTCTGACTCGAAGCAACCAGACACAGCTCGCAGGCAGATGTTTTGCTCTCAAATTGCTTTCAGGAGAACTCCACCTCCCTTATGTCTTGCGCTACTCTGGTCCCGCTTCTGAATGTCCATAATAATTTTTTTTTTATGTCAGCTCTTTAGCTTCAATGGTGACCTGTTTGTGTGAGGTGCAGGAAGTTGCAAAATTAATGAAAAACCCTGAAAAAGAGGTTGAAAGAGAGAAGTGATTCAAATTTTAGGTTAAAGTATAGGAGGGAAAAGCCAACAACTGCAGACCACACGGCCTGTCATTTTTTACTAAAGGCCTTCAGACTGTTAGCTAACTTCAAAAACCCATAAAATTGGGGATTTCGTAGCATTCGGACACAGTAATAAGGAAACATACCCGATTTTTCTGACTCGTCATTTGAAGACCCAGTTTCATTCAAACCTGCATTCGTGGGTGACGCTGAAGAAAGTGGATACAAGCCCCAAACAGCAGAGGTCACAGGACAAAACCTGCCTGATCTGTGCCACCCCTGCTTTCCATACCCTTCACTCCCCAAGCCCCCGCAGGTGGCGTGGCTCTGTCTTCTCAACACTTGTACCAAGCCCTGGTTTATGAGACGGAGCACAGATTACAAACAGACGTAACACACTCACACATCGCTTCCTGCTGCTTCAGATACCCCCAGCCTTTGCTTGTACAAAAACGAGATCACAAAGTCGTTATCTGATCTCAAATACAAACACAGACCTGCGGCTGTTGACTCCAGGATCACCACCGTGCTTACCATACACAGCTGATGAAACAGCGTGGCAAAAACTCCTATATTAATTTGTGTGCTTATTCTCTTTTACATAAAATTAGAACATTAATTTTGATTTTTAAGAACATGCTAAACGTATTGCTGATAAAAGCGCCAGAACCACAGCCAGGAAAATGTGGTTATTGGGCAGTAGAAAGTCCTTATCTCATCCCCAGTGCACACCGTGCATTTCCAAGCTTCTGTTCCACCTCAGTTGTAAATTTATTCATGTTTGAGAATCCAGCTGCTGCTTCAGGAGACTTGGACAGCCTTCTGCATCACAGTAGCTTGAATTCTTTATTTTTTTCCCCATGCCAACTGTGGCCTAGTCTAATTTTAACAATTCTCTCTAAGATGTATGTACTCTTCAAGTCCCTGTATGCTGAAAGCATCTTTGTACTACTTTTAACCTGACTTTAAGTTGCTTTTTGAGGCCTGATTCTGAGATTTTGCCAAGCTGTATACAACATAGGATCATTTAGAGCTGTAGTGAATCCATCATTCAGCCTTTAATTTTTCCTTATATTTCAGTAAGTCTTCACCTTTGACCATTTTTGTGTTTTACCTAGATTGACCCCAGTTTGTTTCTTTCTGTCCACAAGTAAATGTACAGTGAATGTGCAGTCTGTTTTCCCGACTAGGATTATCTCCTATAACTGACTGGAGTCAGGTGCTGTTTTCCCTGGTAATCTGTGTCTTCCTTCTGCTCTCTGTTGAAGGGACGTCAGCCTCTAATATCAGCCACTCTGAAAAACAGGAGCCGGTCGAGCCGCCTAAACAGGAGAACATATCTTTACCGCCCACAGAAAACAAAAATAGAGAGAAGGAAAATGAGAGAAGTCTGTTGCCATCACCAGACTCTTCCCATCTGGGAGTATCACCAGCAGGCAGTAAGTAGAGTAATAGATTCTGAATTTAGCACTGACATTACCATGTAGACAAGGCTGCTTCCCGTTCTTTCAGTGTAGCGTAATGTATATATTGCTCTTCAGAATGGCCACATTTGAATATTTGCCCTTTTCCTAGCACTGTTGTGTCCTGAGCTGTTTATTCCTAACTTAGCGCACGTGCTCCTGTTCCTCGTCCCGTAGCTCTCCTGGCTTTCAGAGGCACTGCTCAGATGGATCCTGGAGGATCTCAAGGCGTTTCCCGAGTCCCTGTGAACACCCTGGTCCCACTCTGGCTCCATGCTAAGGCCACATCAGTGCGCACATTTCCCGCCCCGTGTCCCAGTCTCCACACAAAATCCGTCTGCTTTGCCTGGGAAGGGGGAGCAGAGCACACTGAGGAGAGCCCCTGACCCCAGCACAGCCATAGGGGAGCCCTGGGGGAGCCCTGGGGACTCCACGGCCCTGAGCCAGGACCAGAGCGGTCTGTGGCGTCATCTCACAAAGAGGAACTGGGAAAAGGGCTCCCTGTCTTCACACAGTACTGCATGCTTTGTCAGCTTGTCACAGACTATCCCAGGTCAGGAAATTCAACAAAATGCCCCAGACCTTCATAATTAGTCACAGGCTGTGGTACTACCAAAACAAGGTGTATTTTAACGCTGTTATTTCCATTTCCGGTGCTATTTCTGGAGGAGCCTTGTATTCACTGCCTTCTCCACCACCTCCCCCCAGAGACCTTTTGAAATCCTTGCAGTCAAATCCGCCTGTCTCATCAAGTGTGAAGGTAAATACATCCCTCTAGTACTCACTATGACAGTGAAAATTGTCTTTGACATTCTGCTGCTTCTTTCAATTAAACTTTATCGCTCTACTTGTATAAAATACAGATCCAGTGAAAAGGTCTGGCTTGGTTACGATTTGGACTGAATATAACAGGAGTGCTACAGTTAGATTACTTATGGTTTACATCACTGGTTTTTGCCAGTGAAGGATCAGTGAGGGAAAAGGTTACCAGTATTGCATACTGCATAGCCCAGCATGGATACTCATGACCACAAACAGCAACTAATTTGAAGGAATTTCAAGTATAGACTTTACAGAGGACTTAACGTTTCTGGTGTGATAACAGGACAGTGCAATATATACCACTGACTAGTCAGAATGGGATAGTTCTTTAATTTAATACTTAAAATGGAGTTTCTGCTCAAAACTGGGCTGGTATCAAATTTAAGTCGGGTAGCCCAGAGCCTGGTGCAGCAGACAACTGCAAATCTCCCAGGATGGGGGTTCCAGCGCCTCTGAGCCCCACTGCAGTGCTCAGCCCTCTCGCTGCGGGA